CATATATTTTCCATATCTCAAAAACGTATAAAAAAATTAAATTGATTTTGAAAATTTTCTTATTTTTTCGAATCACAGTTGTAAGCAAAACTTATATAGGAGAAAGAGAACTATAAAAGTTGGCTCTAGATGCAATTTTCAACTTGAAGAAGAATAAGAGTGGAGATAGGGGAGGGTGTGGGTTTGGGTTTGGGAATCGATGAAAGATATAGAAAGAACAGAGAAAGGGTGATTGCCCAATTAAAACGGGTCGATCCAACTTTCTTCTTCTTTTTTTATTATTTTGTTAATTTTGTTATTAAAACTGATGTGTTATTTTCTTATTGAAACACATAAGGGGTAAGTAGGGTAAAATTACTCACCGGTAAGTAGCTAAGCATTGTCCAAATAAAAATACACATTCCAACTTTTGTTACAAAATTTGCCAACACTAAATTCTAATTGTAACAGAATGCGCCCTAAATCCACTATATATCAAACTCTAACAAAATGCGTTATGGTTTTGCCTTGAAGATTTAAAAAATAGTGAATTTTTATTCTTTCCGATGGGCAAATGGATTTCTTAATTATCGAAACTCAATTTCCAATTACTGATACAATAATCACAACCTTCTAATACAATCTTATGTTACCTAAAAAGTACAGCTAATAAATATTATGGGGCAATATTTGGTCCTCGTGCAATTTCTTGACCACAACTGACATAAACTTGGTGCACAGCTGAAAAAAAAAAACACCTGATTATATGCTGATAAAGAGCACCAACGAGTGAACCACGTTGTTGATGGTGTCTTTTGAGCCAATGATGTTGCGAATGTGAACACGAAAATTTTAAAGAAGTGTTCAGATTATGCGATACAACTTTTTACTAAAGTGGTATGTGCACACCTTGAACACTGCTAAATCTATATGTAAAGTACCTGAGAGTTAGTGCTCTACCTGGACAATATATATATACATATACATAAAGCTAGTGATTACGGATTACATTGTGTCTTAAAGAAATAAAGAAAGATGTTCAAAGTTCCATCTTATCAAGTTAATGATTATATAAAGGAAACAGAAGTGTAAAGAGATTGATATTTTTATGCAAAAAGGAGAGAATATGTGACGGCCACCTGACCCACCTCCTGGCTCGTCGTCTATTAGTTCATGATTAAATAAAGAAAACCAAAGTGATATTTTGCTACCTAAAATATGGAAGCGTGGCAAATGCCTATCTAAATTATCTTTATTGCTCAACTGCATTCTAATTTCTCAAATTTATGGTTAATAAGTTGATACACATAACTTATTGGGACGATATACGACTGTTGGTCCAATTTTTTACCAAAAAGGAAAAAGAATTTGTTCTGATAAAAACCAATAACTCTGACTATAATGGGAGCACAATATCCACCATGCATCCGTTTTCAAATTTTTTATTTTGCTTGAAGAATGCTCCCTCGTCCCACAAAAAGTTTTTTTTTTTTTGGTTGAAATTTAACTTTTTAAAGATGTAAACTTTTATACATTTTTTTTTTTCTAGTTAAGACTAGGACACACTGTCTCCACTGAGGTTCGAACCCTGATCATTAGGCTACAGGTCTGTTGGTAAAACTTTTATACTTTATTTAGCGGTATTAAATCGGTGTATAAAATTTGAACTAAACTTTTTTGAATTTTAAATTCAATGCATCAATTCAATGTTTCCAAACATAATATTAGTATTTTTTTTTTTAATTGTATTGGTAGTAAATAAATTACCAAATTTACCCATAGTGTATCTAGAGTGATTTGACCGTTTACTTTTTATAAATTTAAGAAAAAAAAGATTAAATTAGTAATATTACAAAAATAATACATTAGTTTTTCAATTGAGATAACTTAAAATGAAAAAGTGGACACTTTAAAGGAGTAATATTTAGTGGAGTAAGTAGTAGTTTACAATGTTGTTTGGGAGTGTACCAAAACGGAGTTTTGAATTTTAAAACAAAAAAAAAAAAAAATTAGTTAAAACTATAAATTAAATTGTCACAAATTACAAATTTAATATACCGATTCGGTACTTTCAAACGTAACATAACTATTTTTACAATTTAATGACCTACTTTAATCTTTTTATACTACGTTTAGCGTGCAGGAATGGAATGAAATGATATGTCCATTCCAATCATTTGGTGTGCATGAATGAAATAGAATGGCTATTCCATTGGAATGAAAATTCATTCCATAACTAAACCTATGGAATGACCATTCCATTCCCAAGTAATTTTTTTTTAAAAAATCAACTTCCCAAAAAACCCTCATGTTTCAAGTTCAAAAACCACCGTTACCTTCCACCACAACCACCTCCGCCTTACTCACCACTACCACTACCACCGTCTTCCACCACCACCACCACTGTCCACCACTACCACCGCCACCGCCTTTCACCACCGCTACCGCCACCATTTGCCACAACCACCACCGTCGGCTTTCACCACCACTACTGCTACCACCTTCCACCACCACCACTGCTACTGCCTTTCACCACCTTCCACTACCACCGCCGCCACCACCTTTCACCACCGCCACCGCCTTCCACCACTACCATCGCCTTCCACCACCTTCCATCACCACCGTCGCCGCCACCACCATAGTCACCACCTTCCACCACCGCCACCTCCACTGCCTTCCACCACCATCATAGTCACACCACTATTTCCTTCCTTCACAACCACCACACTACTGCCACCGCTTTCTACCAACAGCACTACTGCCTTCCACCAACAGAACTGCCACCTTCCACCACCACCGCCACCTTCTAACACCACCACCTATACCACTATCGCTTTCCACCATTCACTACCGCCACCATTTATTTTTTAAAATTATTAGAAAATGTCATTTTGTTAATTTGATTTATTTGTTACTAAAAGGAATATTTTGGAGAATTCAATTAGAAATTTATTTGTTACTAAAAGCCCAACTAGAGTTCGAATTATTATATTATTCAAATATTTAATTGTGTTTTGATTAGTGAAATGTTTGTTATAGTTAATAGTTTTAATGTTGGAATGCTAGAAACATTCTTCTTGAAATTGTTTTAGTATTTCTTTTTTTCATTTATTTAGAATCTAGCTCAATTAAGATTCGAATTTGATAAAAGTTCATAAATATGAATTTAGAGTTTAGACTCAAATTAGGTTATTGCAAGTTATATGGTTGATTGTTCAGAAGGTCATTGTTCAGACGAAGATCATGTTTATTTCAATTGTGATCACCCTCTTCTATGCACTGTCTGTGTGTTTTGCTGATGGCTCATAATTTATGGTTTGTGATGTTACATACGTAACAAACTGTATCTGTTGTTCCCTCTTCTGGTGCTACCCACGTGAAACTATATGGGCTAAGAGATGGTCTTTAAGCTACCCACATGAGACCGGTATGTTATTTTGAGTCCAATGCTGATTTGCCATCCGGTTAGGTCAAATTGGTCGTAAAACTTCTTATAGACCTGTCGCAATCCGTTGTTTTAAATTTACACACGATGGGTGAGCATACTATCTGCAATAGGGATCACGTGATGTTGAGCGGATTAGTATATTATATCAGTGAGTTTATGAATAACACATATCTATCTTCAGCGCGTGAAGTTCAAAATATATCTATAGAATATTTACTAAAAAAATTAAGCACAATGTCGGCTAGGGTTCCTCTCTCGTAAAATGGTTGCACACAGAATTTACTCTGCGAATTTACCTTCCCAAAAAAAAAAAAAAAAACTCTGCGAAATTGATGAGAAATTATTAATTAATATTAGAGCCAAAATTACGTGGTTTAATAATATATTATAAAAAAATTGAATACTAGTTTTGATTTACTCTCTTATAACGTTTTAATCGTTACAAATGAAATTTCTATTTATAAGCATACAAGAAGATACTACATCACAATCAATGATTAAGACATCATGTCTAGAATTTTTCATCTAAATATCTATCTATTTGCAAACCATACAAAAATTTTTAGAATTGTCTTTAATCAACAAACATCTACAAACTCTCCGATATACTAAATCTTTCATTTATTTCTACAATACTACACCATCTCTATAAAGTCTCTAAAACTCAAATCATTCATGTTATGTCATGCTCGCATGTTGCCTCAAACAATGTCCTTGCAAATAAGTGTGACTTGACAACCAACGTATCGAGTCTCAATTTTTTTCCTTAAAAAATTACTGTATAATCAAATGTTTTGTACAAAATTTGTTTATATTATGGGTGGATCTGTTGGTTTACTTAGCCTAATAAGAATGAGATCTTTGCTTGTTTATGATTTTTTTTAGTAGTGATTTGGGTATAAAATCTTAAAATTCAAATTATATGAGAGATGATGAATCTCATCATATAATATGGCTTATTAACAGTCAAATAGATTGAATTCGACAAGTACATTATTATTTTTATTGTTTTTTTAATGATATCATTGGAACCTAGGTTGGTTTGAGGTGAATTATTTTCATTCAAAATCAACACATGAAAAAATAATAAATAAATAAATATCTGCATATAAGAATATCGGTTCTGTAAACTTTATATATTATATATATATATATATAGATATAATAATTTTTTAGAATATTTATCTTTTAATAAATCTGGTCTTCTCCAAAGGAGACGCGTTTTGACTCTTTTGTTTTGTTTTTTTTTTTTTTCAAATCTATCTACGACCCAGTATAACCCCAAGTGGTGCTCAATATTAATGTAACGATGGATGAGTCTGCTGACTCTGACTGGCTCACCGGACCAAGATGATGTCGGCACACTACAGCTTTCTCCGAGTTACCAATCGTGTTAAACACACAATACATACGGGCGTGTCTCTCTATTTTACTAAACCATAATAAATAAATAAATTTGTTGAAAGAGCCAAGAATGTTCCCATAGAAGAACGTGTGGTCGGCGTTAAACGTCGTCAGTGCTTCCGTCAAAGCCACACGCTCACACAATATAAAACGACCGTACTTCAACAAAGAATCATTGACCCCAGTTTCCACTCCGTTAATTTCCCTGTACCACACTTCGTCAACCATTCCCTGCCCTTCCACTAGTATAAATATCCCAACCTCTGCTTCGTGTTCTTTCCAGTCTCACTAACGCATATATACTCTCTTTCTCTAAATACACAATCACAGACACATACGTATATTGACGAAGAAGCCAACTACAACTCTCGATTTGGTCTTCATAGAATCTGAGGTACTGTTCCAATCTTTCTGTTAGTTCTGCTTTACTTTTCTCTTTCATTTGTAAGGAAATTTCTTTTCGTGGACTTTGTGTTGCTACCTAGTCAGTCTTCGTTTGGTTGCTGGGAAATTTAAACGAAAAGAAGGAAGAATTCAAACTTTTCTTTTTCTTTTGCTTTTGGAAAATGATATTTCACCTTATAAAAGTCGAAAGAGCCGAATTTGGAAATTATTGAATGGTTTCGATTTTCTCTGGGTTTCAAGCGATTAAGAATCTAAAAGTTTCTCCTATTTCTCTTACATTTTCCCACCGACCAAACAGAGCATCATGGTTTAATCAGATAGGTAATTATGTCAGGGTTGGTTGTTCTGAATTTCTTTTTTTTGTGTGTTTTAATTGAATAATTTGGCTTTGAAATTGTTTCGATTCCTATTGTTATCAAGCTTTAATTTTTTTATTTTTAAGCATAAATTGCTCTCTTTCATCTTTTTATTTATGTGTAGTTTTGTGCTACCATCTAATATTAGATTGTAGCTATTGTATAGTGCCATGATATAATCCTATTTAGTTGTTTGCTAATACTTGTGTTGTACTTGATTATCCATAATTGAAATTATGTCTCTTTTTTCAAACTTCTATTCTTCTTTTTTAATTTCTACTTATTCCTACTTTTCATGTGATTTTTTGGTCCGGCTTATACATCACTTGCTTGATGGAATTTAGATTCTCCGAATGGTGGTTTCAATTCTCAAATTAGTGACGATGATTATATGGAAAAAGATTCATGGCATGTAGTTTGTAATTTGTTTTGGAAAAAACAAAAGGGTTTTCTCACTTGGATGGTACTTAGGCAGGGATATAAGTTTTCTCAGGTCCCAAATGAGTATCAGTTCAATATCATTATTTCATATTCATAGCCCTAAAAGTTCAAAGCAGTGATAGATTTTCTGTATTTTATTTTTCCTGAATAAAACAATGGTAGAGTTATGGAGGATAAAATTATACCTAAATTTCTATTGCAGTTGTTTACACTTGGCTTGCACCGTTTAAGTCTGTACATGTTGCCTTTTCTTAAAATGAACTTTGAATTTTGTTGACTAGTAGTTTGTTCTGTCCCTGATAGATATTGAAAATCATCTGTTGGGTTCATAATAAGATTCTCACTTCAATTATGAAATAATCATCTGAAGACATCTAGTGTCATCCTTTAGAACCGGATATTAGATGAAAATAAGACGCAATAACAGAACAAACTTTATGTATTTATATGATTTTTAAGTTTGCAATGGCATGAATAGACTATTTCCTTGTGCATTGAACAGAAATAAACATAATTTGTAGAAAAATAGAGTTTAAAGAGGAGTAATAAGTAAACTAGATGGCAAAGAGGAAAACTAAAATTATTTATCTCTCAATATATTCCTACTTGATCTGCGTAACAATCTTGTACTTTTTGACAAACTAAATGTATTTGCTGAATTTCAACTTGCAGTTAGTCCATGGAAATTGAATGTTTTTTTTATTCAGCATTCCAACTAGAACAATCTAGAGATTTGTTGTCCATATTTTCAACTGCTTGACATGATATAATTTTGCTGATTGTCTACTTTGACACCTAACAACTTCTGTATGAAATCATATTGTGAATTTGTGATGTGTATATGTTTGCTTGCCCCTAAACCTTACCTTTGTTCATGATGGCAGCGTATTGATAAATTTTGAAATAAAACCATGTTTTCCATGTTCTCTCCTAAACAAGAGGATAACGGTAAACTTATCTCTTCATTTTTGTCATTGTTGCAGGTTTCCAATCCTTCACTATTATTGCTGTTTGATTCTATCGTTCTAAGACAGACTAGTGATTTCTAAACAGAAGTTTGCTGCCAGTAGTTGTTGTCCAATTAAGAGCTAGGGTCTGCTTTTTTCTGAACCACCAATAACACTATTGAGAATTAATATCGCATAGAACAAGCTGATGCTGACCATATAGCATGGACTCGCACCAGTTTTTTCGTTATGGTGTGACTGAATCAGACAGATCCTATTCATCTTCTTATCCCACTGTTCCATCAATACCTACTAGTCTTTTTGAGTCCTTGAGATTTGATTTGAGTAACTCACCTAGCTCCTCTTTCGCAACTCAGTTTGATTCTTGGACCCCTACTTCACTGAGTGACAGTCAGGAACAGCACAGCTCCACGGAGAATTTCTCAGGAGTCAGCCCTTCCTGTAACTCTTCACTTGAAACTACCAGTTATTTCCAACGGTTGGGCCCTTCTGTGGACTGCCACCGAGAAAGTCTTCTGCTTTCTTCTGGCGGGACTTCCTTTTCACATAATGCAGATTGTGGTGATCAGAACATAAAAAACGCTTTGCAGGAGTTAGAGACTGCTCTAATGGAGCCTGACGATGAAGAAGAAGTAACAGCGCCAACTCGTTCTTTTGGGGAAAACAACCCCCTACAAACATCAGGTCAAAGGTCTAGGGCCTGGAGCCAAGAACCACAGGGATCACATGTGATTCAACCTCAGCCAACCAATGTGGCGAGGTACGGTAAGTCTGTTGATGGATTTCATATCGAGAAGCGTCACAAAGCAATGGAAGATGCATATATTCTGGGATTCCCGCCGGGGAGTCTGAAGGAACTACTGGTTAAATGCGCAAGAGCTCTCTTTGAAAATCGACTTGATGATTTTGAGAAATTGATTGAAGTGGCTCGTGGTGAGGTGTCTATTAGTGGAGAACCAATTCAGCGCCTTGGTGCTTATATGGTAGAAGGGCTGGTAGCGAGGAAAGAGGAATCAGGCACTAACATTTACCGGACCCTGAGGTGTAGGGAGCCAGAAGGCAAGGACTTGCTTACATACATGCAAATCTTGTATGAAATATGCCCTTACTTGAAATTTGGATACATGGCAGCAAATGGGGCCATTGCTGAAGCATGCAAAAGTGAGGAGCGCATCCACATCATAGACTTCCAAATTGCTCAAGGGACCCAGTGGATGACTCTCTTACAAGCTCTTGCAGCGAGGCCTAGTGGGGCTCCTCACGTTCGGATCACAGGGATTGATGATCCAGTTAATCAATATGCCCGTGGAGACAGTTTGGATGCAGTTGGAAGGAGGTTGGCAGCGATTTCTGAGAGGTTCAATATCCCAGTTGAGTTTCATCCAGTGCCAGTTTTTGCTCCAGATGTCACAAAGGAAATGCTTGATGTAAGGCCTGGGGAGGCTCTGGCTCTGAATTTCCCTCTTCAGCTTCATCACACACCTGATGAGAGTGTTGACGTGAACAACCCGAGGGATGAACTATTGAGGATGGTGAAGTCACTTTCTCCCAAGGTTGTGACATTGGTGGAGCAAGAGTCAAACACGAACACAACCCCTTTCATCACTAGGTTCATAGAAACTCTACAATACTATTCGGCAATGTTCGAGTCAATTGATGTGACCATGGCAAGAGACCGAAAAGAGCGGATCAATGTGGAACAACACTGTTTGGCTAGAGATATTGTGAACATCATAGCTTGTGAGGGCAAGGAGAGGGTGGAACGCCATGAGCTCTTCGGCAAGTGGAAGTCCAGGTTTACGATGGCAGGGTTCAGGCAATGTCCTCTGAGCTCTTATGTCAACTCCGTGATAAGAAACTTGATGAGGTTATACTCGGAGCATTATACACTGGTGGAGAAGGATGGAGCTATGCTATTGGGATGGAAGGACAGAGACCTAATCTCAGCATCTGCTTGGAACTGAGCATAAGAAACAAGGGAAACACACCGATCCAGTTAGAAATAGAAATGACTATATTCTAGTTCATAGGTTGCAACTGTGGCATGGCCTGATGATACTGTATTATCAAGCGTTGGATTGCTCAATTGATATCTGCGTTTTTCGTGCCACCAAGGGCTTTCATTTCAGTTATGTTTGAGCTACCATTTTCTTTGTTGTTGGAGTTGCATTCATGTACAGTGCAGGATTAATTTCTCAGTATTAATTTTTTATCCCCCTTGATATGCATTCATTTGTATAATATTAAATTTAGTTTAGAGTGAAATCCTGCAATCATTTCTTGTATCTTGGTATTGTCCTATATATGTTTGTATACTTTTGGAGAAACGGTCGATACTTATTTTGGATCTTAGAAATCTACATGCAATAGCTTGCTTAAGCTCAGAATTTGCTACTCTATCCATATTTCGTTAAAGACAGATTGGGATGAATCAACAGCTCTGCCAGTCTCTTCACTTGTTGGCTGGGTGTGAAGCTAGTAAAGACTTCTTTTGGCCTATGCCCCTTTGCACTGCACAAGTGATGGATGCTGTAATTAAGAGAGGTTAGTGAAACAACTATACATAGGGTTCTTGGATCACTCTTTAATTCTAGAGACAAAATGTCCCTTCACTCGTTATGTAAGATCCCCATTATAGAAATACAACCTACTTTGTTATGGATTTGATCATTGAGAATCAATCGAAGTACCAATAATTACCCAATTTCTATTTTGTGAACACCTAAGATGATGTCCATTCATGACTATTGTTTGGTTAATTGCTTAATTATGTTTTGATTAGTGATTTTTTGTGATCTATTTCATAGTGGAGTTGGATTCGGATTAGGCTATTATGAGTTTGATGCTAAATTCAATATAAGGCTTAGTTTAGAAATAAGAGTCAAATTGAAGGAATTTTAATTTAAAAATATCCTAGTAAGAGAATCTAAGTTCGATTTTCTTTTTGGCTCTACAAAGTTCTCTGATGCAAAGTCCCGACACCTATCACGTAAGGTTAAACTTTGCTCGTGCAACTCCCGTGCACTATGTATGCCCTAATTGTTGTCTTTAACTACTTCAGTTGTATACAAAGGTTAAACTCTATTCGTGCGACCCATGTGAACCATACACGCCTTGATTGTTGTCTTTCGCTTATTCCAATGGTGACAACTCTCCATGTGACTCACCTGCACCGTGTATGCCTTAATTGTTGCCTTTGGCTTATTTGTTTGAAACCATGACATCTATTTAGTTTGTTTTTGTTGCTCCATTGGTGACGCCACTTTAACTTTTTTTTTCTAAGAGTAATGATAAACATTGTGACACTCTGACTAGTCGTGTGTCTAGAGGTGAGTCCCCCATCATAGGTAGGACCCTTCACTACCACTTTAAGACACCAGATAGATGGTCAGGTGTCCAATATTTTGAATTTTTCTTTTTAAGTAATGATAGGCATTACGACACCCAATTAGTTAGGTGTCTCACGTAGGGGTGAGTTTCTTATCATAGGTGGAGTCCTCCACTACCCCTGTAAGACATTGGACAGTATGGTGTGGTGAAGTTTTGAATTTTCCTTTCTTGTAAAGTCTCTTTAAGTTATTTCGAGTTTTCTTGGGCTTGATGATGCCAATGTACCACTTGTACTAGCTCAGGTCAAATTAATTATATATTGTAAAACAGGTGCCTATGCATTAAGGGCCAGTTTAGTAACAAGAATTATTTCTTGATTTCTGCTTTCAATTCTTAAAATAAGAATCAAAAGTAAAAAAATCATGTTTAATAAAATATTTTCACTTTTCAACTTTAAGGAAGCACTTTCTAATTTTGTGAACAAAAAGAAAATGAAAAACCCTTATTTTCTCTATTTTCTCTACCGTTGGAAGGAATTATTTCCCTTTGCTTCTCTTTACTGTAGCACTCAAATTTGTTCTCTCTCTACTGGTTTAACCTTCAACCAAACCAATTTGGCTGAAAGTATATGAGCGGGAGCGGCAAACAGTGACTCCAAGTGACGCCGGATTGAGCTTACCGGCAAACCGAACGGCGACGAGGCTGTGACAATGCGTGCAAGGAATCCGGCAATTGGGCATCGGGGAGAGGGAGACCCAAATTCGCATCCACAAGCAATTCATACTCCAAAGTTTTGTTCCTAGTCCGTTTGTCCGTGGATTCCGGCATCGGGGAGGGAGAGAGTTTGTGGTTTCCGTGGATTCCGGCATAGGCAAACAGTATATAGAGAGAGATTGATGAGACTGATGCACTTCATCATCTCTATTTCTATGGCAAATTGAGCAAGTTTCTGAGGTGGGTTTTCAGTTAGACTCAAGATTTTGGTATTTTTTGTGTCTGGAGATTGTTGAGGATGATGTCAATTACATGCCACAATCTTGAATTTGGTCGAACTGGATTTGATTGCTTGTGGGTGTTCTTCCAATGCTTCGTTTGGCCAATCTTCAGTAAGAAACTATGCAAAGGGGATGTTTAGGAGTGATGGTGGAGGCCATGGGGCTCAGAAATTGGTGAGTTGTCGGCGTGACACAAGTCGGTGCAGTGTGTCCGGAACGTGGCTTTACCCTAATCTTTATGCCCATTTCAGAAAAGAGTTTAGTTATGAGCACAAGTTGAGTATCACAATCCGAAAACCAACTACAGCTAACCGATTGAGCGGTGGAAATGACCACTTGTGCATCTGCTCCAGGATCCGGACACTGCAAGAAAAGAAAGGAATAAGAAGCTTTTTCTTCATTGATCGACTCAAGACAGCCCGTTTCAATTGTGACTGAGGTGTCAATCTTTGTTTTGTTATGACTGATGGTCTTCTCAAAAAGCAAAGGACCCATTTTGAGAGGATGTGGTCGCCGGCTTTGTTTTCACCTACAATTGCCTGCCGAGGAATTCGCTAAAGGTTTCCCGGACCTGTTCAAAACCTCAGAAGAAAGAGAAGGACAATGCTTAGCTACTCACCGGTGAATAGGGTGAAACTATTCACCCTTACGTGGTCCAATTATAAAATAACACATTACCTTTCATAATTAAATAATTCACACATTTCTCTACTTTCTCGGATCAATTATTCAATAAATGTATATAGTGTTTTTAGGTATGAATTATTTTATTATTAAATGTGATGTGTTATTTTATTATTGGACCAGGTAAGGGTGAGTAGTTTCACCCTACTCACCGATGAGTAGCTAAGTATTTTCCAAAGAAGAAAGAGGGCTTGTTCCCATATCGCTTGTCGGCGAAATCAAACCCGGATAAATATATATATATCTTAGAGAGAGAAAGATAAAATAAAATAAAAAATAAAAAAAATTAGAGAGAGAGATAAAGAGGAAAGCAAAATTAAAATTAAAATTATTAAACTTACTTTTTGTTTTTCACTTTCAAAATATTAAAAATAAAATCTTCTTATTAAACATCATTTTACTTTCTATTTCATCTCAACAAATTATGATTTTACTTTTAAAGAAAGTAAAAATAAGAAAGTAAAAGCATTAGTAAACAGGCCCTAGGTGCATTCCAAAATACACCATCACCACTTTGGCAAGTGGAAGTCTAGGTCTACCATGGCAGGGTTCGTCCTCTGAGTTGTTATGTTAACTTTGTGATAAGAGGCTTGACGAACGCTTACTCCTATGCAATTAGGGTGGAAGGATAGGGACCTAACTCAGCATTTGCCTCAAACTAAATATAAGAAATAAGAGAAACAAACCCATCCAGTTATAAATAAAAATGATTGTTTTAATTAATAAATTACAGTTATTGCATGACCTACATCATGTATATCTCACACATGTTTTGACTAAGGCCTTGAACGTGACCTTCTTTTGAAAAATAAGAGTCTGATACCACTAAGTCACTGACCCGTTGGTTATCTTGATTGTTATCTTTGACTTATTAGTTGTGTATAGAGGTTAAACTCCCCGTGTGTGACCCAGGTGTACAGAGTCTTAATTGTTGTTTTTAATTTATTTTAATTGTGACAACTCTCTGTCCGACCACGTTCATCGTGTACATCTCGATTGTTGTCTTCATGACATGTCTTTGGTTTATTTCAATCGTGACATTAGTGACTCCAAAGTTTGAAAGCCACATCCTTAATTGTCATCTTTAGTTTATTTCAGTTGTGACAACTCGTCCAAGCACGATCGTATTTGACAAGTATTTGCTCATTTCAAATGTGACATTAGTGACTCCACCGTATGAAAGCCACTTTAAGTGGCAACCCTAAGTTATTTCGAGTCCCAACTATGCTTTGGCTTATTTGAGTTGTGATGTCACATATTTCAAGGATTTTGAATGAGTAAAAAGGAAAAATATATATTGACTGTGTCTTAAACTCAACTCAACTGATCAAAGTTCTAGGATTCTAGTATGGTTTCATGTGCTTCCTCTGTCTCATTTTAGATATCTTCTTTGAAAATTCAAAATTCTTAAGAAATTGATTTTTAATACTATTTTATTGCATTGGCATGAATGAATTTCTAAAACTATCCTATTGTTTGAATTGATGGGATCCTTGCTTGAAATGGTAAATTATCAACGGATCAATAACCTACCGGTATCAAACTCTTACTTCCTAAAGGAAGCTAACGGTTCAAACCTCAAAGGAAACGTGTGTGTAAATACCAATTAAAAAATTTTGATAAATTAGGAAGGTTGATAAATACTGTATTGATATTTGAAACAGGACAACCGACAGCAAGAGTTTTAGAATACAAAAAAAAATTTGAATTGTCATTTTTTTACTTCTCCTTTGTTGTAAACCAAAGTTACAACTAAAACAAACACAAAGTGAGCAACATTTCTTTCACTTTCTATTAAAAATTTACTATATAAAAATTTACACTAGAAGTTGACTCTACTTCCTAAATAGTAATTGTAAAAATATAGTGAATTTGAATACAACCTGACACAATCAAAAGTAAAATAAAATAACAATATTGCATAAAGTTAAACAATCTTTTAAAATTTAGCTGGTGATTAAGATTTCGTTTTGAAGAAGCTTTAGACTCCATAAGCAGAAGACCAGCCCGTAGGCAAACTTCCAAAGTACCACGACCTATTAGTGTGTTGATGTTGTTCAATTGACCGTGCATGAGACGAGAGCACCAATTCTAAATACGTGAACCTCAGTTTGGTTTCACAAATTCAGATAGAAATAAAACTAAATTTGTTCCATGATTTCTCTGCAGAATGGAGACGAGAAATGATACAAACGGGTTAAATTCCATGATTTCTCGTACTTTCTTTGGCAATGAAAAGAGCCCTGGGCATTATCTGTTCTTTGTTCTCATTAAATCAGTAGGTCGGACATGACCTTAATGAATGTGTCAGAGTAAATCTTTAAACCTTCCAAAATGATTAAAAAAAAAAAAAAATCTAAAACCTTTTAATGGAGTTTGTTAGTTTAACAGTTTCCCAGCGCACACGCAGAGAGAGAGACTTTCTGCTAATCGATTTACTATTTTCCTTCTCTGCTTTCTATGAGGGAACTGTGCCTACATAAATACTGTTAACTGACGCCCCCAAAAAATTATAAGCACAAATTCCCTGCCCGTTAGTATCAATGCTAACGGGCCACTTGCATGCAACACTATATTACATTCTGTATCAATATTTTGTATCCTCCTCCCAACCTGAAAGGCCACTTCAATCCACCTTATGATATCATTATTGCCACGGTCCTGCTGGCCAGATCTAGTCCCTCAGATCGGCATTCGCAAAAGCAAGCACCCTTTCCTGATCGTCCATGCACCCGAGAACACGCTAATGATTCCCCAAGTCTTGAGTAATGGATACTTCGACGACAAGAGTATTCATGCTCTCCAAAATTTGACAGCTTGAAACCCAAAACGTAAAATGGATTCAGATCCCTGATCGATCCTAGCCGATATCTATGAATTCTGGCAACAAGCCGATATCTACGAATTCTGGTGACAATGAACATTCCTCAAGTCCAGAGATAAAGTCGGGAACATAATGATGGGGGACCAGAACAGAACAGTCCGTTTCTATTGTTAGCTCATCATTGTCAAAAAGAGAACTACTGTTCAAATCATATATTCCAACATCCGGATTGGTAGGCAATGTCTGATCAAACCTTAGATTAGATTCATTGGGTACTGTCATAGCAGGTTTCGCTGCCAGATCAGTGACTAGGCAGGGTGTATCACTAGACTCCAATGTAGTTTTTCTCATCTTTGATTTAGAAGGCTTGGTTGATTCAGACATGGAAAGCTTGTGTTTTCCCAAAGTTAAAGACTTTGATGTAGTTCGAGACTTGACATCACCCACTGAGAAAGCCGATGAGGCCCAACCTAAACAACCTTCAACGCAGGCTCTGGATGCAGCCCTGAGAACGACAATATATTCAGAATCATTCTTTGCAGGCATAAGAAGTACATAGCATTTAAAATGAATTGTTTAGCATATGTGACCAGTGTTTATTTGCCTGTATGGAAAAAATGATATTTCAACATTTTTGTAATTGTTCCAGTTTAAAAGTAATAACCCCACACAAAAATGAATTTGCGTAAGTGTAATTCCAAAAAAAAAGAATTTGAATAAATGTATACTACAGAAAATAATTAAATTCATTTGCAATGCCCGTCGGTGCATAAGGTTATACCTGAATCGGTTCTCAGCCATATTTTGGGAGGACATAAGATGATGACTTTCTCCCGTAGATGTGTTTGAAGACGGGGCCGAGTGTGGGCCACAAATTGAAAGATTTATGACAGATGGCAACGAAATCATAGAGTCCCCTCTCTCCCTATGAAGTTCAAGCATAATCTCCAACTGCTCTGCAACCACTGGAGTTTCTTCCCTTGGGTTGAAAATGGGAACTCTATCATCCTGTCGTGTACTGTTGGCATCATAGAGTGCAGCTGCAACTAGCTTGCTACTCTGACTAAGATTAGTCAAGTTCATCCTTTCAGAAGGTTGCCTTGTGGAATTCCTAGCAATCTGGTTTACCGTGGAGGTGAAAAACCTTCCACCAACATAAAGGCCATTCCGGGAAGAAGAGAGGGTGTGTCTGCGGTCAAGGCGAAATGTGGCCCTCCAGACAGAAGAAAGAAGGGCAGAGAAGTGCTTTTGAATGAGTGGTTCATTATCTGGCAATTCAGTAGCAACATCCAATAGCATCCGCATATTTTCCTACCACAAAAAAAGAGCACTAATTCTTACAAACACCAATACAACATTTCAAAATAAAATAATGTAGTGTAGGTCCAGTATTCAACATAGATTGTAATTAATATGTACATGTGTATGAAAGCTTGTGTTTGTGTTCAGAATAGAGCCAGAAGAAAAATAAATTTGGGGGGGGGGGGGGGGGGAGGGAACTAGTAATATAAAATTAAAAATAAATAATTTTAACCATTTTTTAAGAGCATGTTTATAAATGATATAATTAGAGTACTAATAAGTTTTAGCAATGGTTACAGTAGTAATTTCTCTTGCAAACTACCTTTTAATAACCATAAATAAGAATTTTTTAAAAAAATTTGGGGGGGCCAGCTTTAATTTCCCTATGCAAAATTACTATTAATAGCCATAAAAACATACCATAAATAGAGGTTTGAGAAAATTCTACTACTCCAGAGCTAACAATGTAAATCCAACACTATGTCATGGCTAACAATGTAAATCCCACACAATATGCATAGCTAGAGTCGAATTATTATATATTGATATTTTTTCTTTTTTTTTTTTGATAAGTGAATTATTATATATTGATATAACTGAAACAGCTAAGATAATAATAAGCAAGCAAAAAAAAACCGCTGAAGATGTTCATGGCATTGCTACTGAATCAAAAAATTGGCAAGCTGATGCTGAAATTTGAGTTCCTAGTCAAATAATAAATTAAATCCAGATCCATTTCCCATGGAATCAAAACAAACTAGACAACTGTAAGTCATCTGAAAAGTGGGTAATACTTGCTGAATATAAATAGTCATAGGCACATTTAATGATTTTGCAATTTTAAGAGCTACTCCTCAAAGACACCAAGGGTTGTGTAACCTAGTGGTACTTCCTCATCTTCCAAAGTAGAAGGTCTGAGGGTTCAGGTCCCCGTAGGAGCATAAAGTGGGTGTGTGAGTGTGTTTATTGCCAAGGTTAAAAAAAAAAAAAAATTTCTCTTCTACTTGATTTATCACATTGTGACATTTCATGTTGCTCAATGGACTAAGTCAACAATAATTGCATGGGACATGCATCTAATTATAATTAGAGTATTTCCTGAGATAGGTACGGGAATAGAATTTAGAGACAAGTAATATTCCTAACATAGCATAGTTTTAGCTCTGTGGTTTGTTAGTTGGTTTGAAAGCTGGTTCTGGGTGCAGTTTTTGTTTGGGGTCTGCTACTCTGCCAGATTTTGCACCCCTTAGAGTTGTATTGTTGTTTGTTTGTTTAATAAAGCTAACATACCCAAAAATAAAAACAATAACCTATATTTTCAAGAAACCAGGATCTGATGATTTCTAAATAGGCCTATGAAAAAGCTAGAATCAACCATCCACCAAGATAATAGGTTGAATCCAATAGTTTGATATCACCGGTGGACATCAACCAGGAACCAAATGAAGCCATACTTGTCAGTGCACGTTGGATTTAAATCATTTGAAGGGGGATAGATCTAGCTTACCTCGGTAACTCTGAGAAGAGCCTTTCCAGATCCAGTATTGCTGGCCTTCTCATTATTAAAATTGTCTGCTGAGGATAAAACATATCTTTGAATGAGTTCCCTAAATCTCTCACAGCAATGGACAGGATGGCGAACTCTTCCCCTAAAAAATCCACCAGCTGTCATCCCATACAATGTTTCACTCACCAAGCTCCAGTTCGGGCCATATTCATGCACAACAGCACACAATAGAGCATCCTCTTGCGGTGACCAAAAATCAGGTGATGGGAAACAATCTTTGGACCAAATGTTCCCCTTCTTTTTTAGCTTCTCTGGTTTAATTGTCAAAACTCGCTTTATTGGCATGGCAGTGATGGAGATTTTTCCCCCCGCCTTGCTCCTGCTTATTGACTTCTGCTCAAGATCAACATCAATGCTCTCACATAATTTCAGATATTTTGGCTCATTATGCTGCCTACCCCGCAAGTTGGAATCTAATAATGAAAGATTTGTCTCAGGACGAGCCTTCTTGACTTTCTTGGACTTTGTGATCTTAATGCCATCCCCATCTGGTGCTCTTTTACGTTTCTTCTCTACAGTTGAATGTGGTGATATCATATCCGGAGAGCTGATCACATCGTGATCAATCTCGTCATCTACTGACATAGGTTCTACTGAAGGTTCATCTTTTACAGATTTTGATACAGATTTTGACTCAGAAGCTAGAGCTCCTTTCTTCAGGGATTTGAACTTGGCTTTCTTAGGCTTCTTCTTTGACTTGGGTTTAGGAACAGTTGAAATATCATTCCTGCTCAGAGAGGAAAGAGTCAACATCTATCCAGAAACAAAAGAAATGGTACAGTTCATATCTACATAAAGAATTTCAATACTAAGACAAAGTTATATAACAGGAACAGTCTAATGTTTGCAACTTCATTTGTGCCCAACAACTAGAATCCATTTCAGACACAAGTTCACGCGCGTTACATCATAAAGGTCACCATTACCCATGCCGGCACACTTGCTAAACAGCTGGGTGAACAGAAAGTATTGCATATATTGAACGACAAATTGTACCGATAAAACTCTGATTAAAGCATTATTATTCTATCAAACACCACATTCTCACGAGGGCGGTGTTCTATTTTGTTTATGTTATTTATGGACCAAGTACCAGAAATATTCCAATGACCTCACAACTTTTAAAATCAATGATTGACATTTAACTACAGACAAATTGTCTCATTTCCAATCAACTCTTGGTATCATTTGCAACAGCAGATTAAACAATTTAATGTGTTATTAGCCCTGTCAATATTGGAAGTCGGGAAGGTTGGACTGGCTATAGACAAAATCCCCAGATGTGAGATCCCTTATTTTTGAAATATTAAAATTAAAAATATATAATTATTAATATAAATGTGTATTTAGATATATAAATAGATATGTGTGTGCGCGTGCTTCAATGCATGGTTTAATGGGTTATTATGGTGAGTTAAATGAAGTAATATGAAAAGTCGTGCAATCAGGGGCAGAGCCAGGAATTTTTATTTTTGGGGGGTTGGGGAGGGGCAAACTAAAATTATGTAATTAAAATTTTTAAAAAAATAGGAATCAACTGTAGCATAATTTTTATTTTATTTTTATAATATTTGTCTTGGTATCTATATTGAGAAAAATATAATCCAAAATATGTGAAAAATGAAACCTAAATAAATAGAGATGATTAATATGAGAAAGAAACAATAAGTTACATATAAAAAGAGAAGTGGTATAGAAACATAATTGTTAAAAAAATAATTTTCTTTCAACATTTTTAAAAAATTTTGGAAAGAAAAAAATTGAGTACTTTGATTCCACTTTGAGAAAGATATATAAATGTTAGATTAATAAATAATACAAAAAAATAGGGGGGCAAACCTTTAACTAAACAATATATCGCTAGCTTTAATAAAACATACTCCCTTCGTCCCATTTTAATTGCCCACTTTTGGTAATCTAACTTTTTAAGATGATGATTTTTAGTGTTTGTTTATTGTTTGGTAGTGAATAAATTACCAAATCTACCCATAGTAAGTCCACCATAATGTGAAGGTTTATATTTATAAGTTCATTGCAAGAAGGTTAAATTGGTAATATTACAAAAAAAAAAAAATATATATTACAAAAAAAAAAAGGTACATTGACTTTTCAATTGGAGCAATTATTTTGGGACAACTAAAAATGGAAAGGTGGACACTTATTGTGGAACAGAGGCTAATTATTAGGAACAAAGTAGAGAAGTACTTTAATAACTTATGCAACGAATAGCTATGGAATATTTTTTTCTCCCAGCAAGTAAGAATAGTTATAGAATTTGTCATAACAAGTGACAACAACTATTAGCATGTATGATATCATTGTTGTTATTGACATATCTACTATCTTGGTATTACAACACCTTAGTTTTTCTTGCTTCCTCGTTCTCCAAAGGCTCGTCGATGGAGATAAACATATAATTTTAAATATTCCCCTTGTTAACACAATCTAACAAAAATGTCTTATACAGAGGGTTCATGTATCTTTATTAAATATCATATAATCAAATATAATACATATATAATATGCACATGTAGTAATCATATGTTACAGTAACGACTACCAAAATAATGAACTTACATTTTTGTTTTAGGAGTAACGCTAAAAGGGTTTAATTAAAAAAATTATGAATTTCGAAAAAATATAGTTTTACTTATTTCAAAAATCACTATAATTGAGGCTAAATCTTTTAAAAAATAAAACTTTAAAAATTGGGGTGGGGAGTTGAAATTTTCTGTGAATTTTGGAACCAATTTTTAAGGGGTATAAACAATAATTTTGAAAAAAATTGGAATTTATTTATAAAATAATAATTTTTAAGGGGTATAAACAATAATTTTGAAAAAAATGGGGGGACCATGCCCCCATCTCCCTCCGCCCCTGCATGCAATTATTGCAAAACTCAACTCTTGAATTGCTTGTTACACGATGACCCAAACGTTACATGACTTTAGATATTCGGAATTCATTACACATTAATTACATGTATTTAGACATTCTGTATTCAAATATAAATTGGATTCCAGACGGATAGATTGCTAATAGCTTGAGAGAGTAAGAAAAAGAAAACTCACTTTCCAAACTGTGGAGAAGAGCTTGTAGAGGGGTTGGTCGGTGACGAGTAAAGTTTATAGAGCACATTCTTATCAACATAAGGTAAGGGGATCACTCTCGATTTATATATGCAAAATGATGGAACCAAATAAAGATTTTTACTTATTTGTCTTATTGTATTATCTGGATCATATGAATTGTATTGTATAGTATTGTCTAAAATATGTTTGTGTGCTAAATGTATGACCGGCTAGAATAGGAAAGAGTAAAAATCCTTCGGTTGAAAGAATTAATCCAAAATTTAGTTCGCGGACAACAGCCCATCGAAGAATGTCCGGGAATCCTCTGGTGTGTGCAATATACATGTCAGAAATTATTTTGATTAACTTCATGTGTTCGATTAGAGTTACTACTTGGGTTTGGATTATCTGCATTTTGGTTTCTTTTATATTTCAATTTTGCTTCTAATTATATTTGGTATTCTATCTTTACTTTTATATACTAATATAGAGTTCTTTTACTATTGGGTGGTTGTGTTCACCCCAAGCCAAAGTCCGAAGTAATGAAGAAGTTTCCGAACTCACTAGAAGATTCAGTTTTTGACATAATAAGTTGACAAGAATGTACTATGTTTTAATTATGTAGTTGAAGAAGAATTATACTTATAGAAGATAAGATTGTAATTTATTTAATACGTTTCTATTTTATTTTATTTTATTTTAATCATGTCCGAAAATCGGGTGTGACACCAGAGGACCCAAACAATGTTCCAACACCATTTGAATAAAGTTGCTACCTCTCCATAAAAACCAAAACGGGAAAAAATGAAAAGGAAAATATGATTTTTAAAAGATGGGTAAAATGCGAAAAAGAAATTGCAGAATGTACAAATACCCCATTGTTTTTATAAAAAAAAACCCTACGTTTTTCAAATTAAGCAAATAACGAAAAAAAAATTAATGACAACTGAAATACCTAAAAAAACCCTTAAGACTATAAAAACAAATTATTTCTCTCAATCCCTCCAATTTTTCTTCTCTCTTCCGTCTCCTCTCTCTCTCTCTCTCCCTCCCATCAGTTGCTTCTCTGTCACCAACGCCTTAAAAACCTTCTCTTCATCAGCTACAAACATTCCATAGTGATATTAACAACAAAATAATAATTAATATGCATAGCATGATATATTCCTTCTTTTTATTCTTGGGTATTATACTCTTTAATATAGAAAACACATGAAATGGGCAGCCACTTTCATCTCCGCAAAGATCAGCAACAATGGGCGACGGGAGACACTCTGCCTCATACTTAATTGGGATTCATCAGAAAGATGGAACCAAGCCTCCCTGAACGAAAATCACCTTTGTACTGGAATTATGCGCGTATATGTATATGTGTGTATATATATATATATTTATATATATAGACCCAATCAGTCCCGTGGAAAAGATGATTACAGCAAGAAAACTTCAATGCATTATACATGAATTGAAATTGATGGGCAAGATGGGTTAAACATGAAATGATGAGAAACAAAGGGTGGAAAATAGTCATCTGATTGATAGGATTGAGAGTCACAGTTGTCACCACCGTTTGGGTTTGGAGTGATCACACTGTTTGGGTTTATCAATTACCAATCCTTGCATTGGGAATCATGACCCCACCGTTTTGGTTTGCTCCCTTCCTCTTCCTCTTCGAGAACCGCCAAGACCTTGATCATGGAGTACCTCCTGGAGACCACTGCATCCGTCGAAATCATGCCCCCATGGCCAACACATGTTGCATACGCACTAGCTCATGTGGAATACCATTGGCCATAAATGGGTCCCATACCCGGCAGCAATGGCTCCAGACCATCATGGAGTTGGATGGCGTCGAAGAAGATGAGAGAGAAATATGAGAGGGAGGGAGGGAGGGAGGGAGGGAGGGAGGGTATTTTTTATTAAGGGTATTTCGGAGTTTTTATAAATAAATAAAAGTGGTCAAAATTGGTGATCAGGGGGCAAATTTACTACATATTTTCAAATTATAGGGATTTAAATGCACATACTAAATAGCAGAGGTGTTTCTTGCACATTTTTTATATAGCAAGGGTTTTTTTGCACTTTACACTTGAAAGATAAATATTCCCAGTCATTTTCTTTAATTTGTTTCCTGAGGTACAAATAAGAAGTAACTAAATTGGTCACACAATTGTCAGTTGCCCCAACTAAAATCAGGTGAACAGGTCAGAAGTTCAAGCCACTCAACGTTGAATAGCATTAGCTATCTTTCAACGCAGTACTCTTCTGAAATTATGACACACACCCCAAAATGGTATTAAGCAAGTGGAACCCCAAGATGATTTCAAAATAAAAACAGAAATAGTAAGTTCTCAGGGTTGTCTTACATCATGGAATCAGAATTTTCATAGTCCGCAAGTTCCTTTTCTTTAGCTTCGCACTCCAGTTCCTCCATCAGCTACAAAAAATTTAGCAAAATACAATCATCCGGTCAAATTCAAAAAAGCACACTCAGAGATAAATAACATAAATAAATAAAAATAAAATAAGAAAAGTATACAAACAACATAAAGGTGATCATGCTTACCTGATGTTGGGCCAAGGCCTCAACCTGTTGTCGGTACACCTCGGTTGCAAAATCAGCATCCCATCCTATATTAGCAAAAAAAAAATCAGTGTGTAAATAAAGTTTCAATGTAGACAGTGTGATAATTACATTTTGCTTATTTTACAAGCTGTAATATCTATTATGCATTGGATAAAGTTTAAACCATGTCCGACATGATTACCAAACAACATTGAACAATGTTCGGAAAGTGCAAGCAATAAAGGAACTACCTGAAGAGAAGGAGATCAAATAACGTTGGTTTTAATCTAAAAGGTCTAGCCCAATGCAAAAGGCTCCTGTCAGCGAGGGGTCTGGGGAGGGCATATGTACACAGCCTTACCTCTAACATGCAGAGAGGCACTTGTTTCCTGTTTTGAACCTTTGACCTCCAGGTCACAACAGAGCAACCTTACCATTGCACCAGGGCCCATGAGAATATAGATATATATAGGAGGAAATATGTCCTCCAATTATGTCTTAGATTCTACTGTTCAAGCCAATTACACTTATAAAATTGAAATTAAAACTGTTGACTGATTCATATCACGAGCTGAGATATCTAGAAATAAAATAAAAAAAAAAACAAGTTTGATGTTTGCAAGACTAAAATCCAAAACATATTGACATTGAACAGATACTTACTTTCATATACAAAAGGTTCTTCATCATCATCAATCTCAGCTTCCATATCCTCCTTAAACTTCTCCATACGATCAAGCTCCCACTCAGTTTCCTCGAACCTAACTTGGGATGCCATTGCTGTCTTGTCTATGATGGGGTCCCACAACTCCATAAAGCGTATTGCATATCGATCAATTGGACGTAGCTGATTCTCAAATGACAATATTGCTTGTCCGGCTGCTGCTGCTGCCGCTGCCATCTGTTTAACATCAGCCAGCATGTCAACATCATCTTCTTGACCGGCAAAACTGAGAGCTCTCTCTCCATTTGGATCACTCCTATTCAATATTGGCTCGTTGTCTGTATTTGAAGTTGTGATAAAGCCACTTGGATCAGCAGATTCATTGGCCTTCATGTCATCCTCATTTACAAACTCATCATCTTCCAACCTCCCAATGGCTTCTTCAGTAAACTCTTGATTGTCCACGGCCTCTTCCAGTTCAACTTTCTTTAATGCCATGTAGTCTGCTTCATCCTCAGCATACTTCAAAGCAGCCTCCACATCCGCAGTAGATACAGAAACCTCAGTTCCACTGTTGCAAATTTTCTCTTTCTGAACGTTTTTTATGGGAATTGTTCTATGACCTGAAAACAACTCCATAGGATCCAGTTTTTTGAAAAAATCAGTGTTGTATCCTCCACTCTGTATAACCAAATCATCAAGAGCACGCTTCTGATTGGCCTTTTTTAAGATGTTCTCTTCAATGGTGCTATCACTTATTAACCGATAGATATGTACTTCACGTGTCTGTCCTATTCGGTGGCAACGATCTTGAGCTTGTTGATCCATAGCAGGATTCCAGTCACTATCATAAAAGATAACCGTATCTGCCCCTACTAAATTGATACCAACACCTCCACTACGGGTTGACAAAATGAAAAGAAAATATTTTGGGTTTGTGTTAAACCTCTGCATTAGTGTTTGCCTCTCCTCTGGCTGAGTGGATCCATCCAAACGCATGTAAGTGTAACCATACAAATTTATGAAAGCCTCCAAGATATCAAGCATCTTTGTCATTTGGGTGAATATTAGTGCTCGGTGACCTTCTGATTTCAATCGCCTTAGTAAAACTGCAAGCTCCTGTAGCTTACCACAATCAAATTGTATGAGCCGCCTGTCGGGGAAGTAGACTTGCCTCCTAACTATTGCAGGGCGAAAAGGTGTTAGAAGAGGTGACAAAGTTTCAGAGCATCTCTCCTTGTAAGTTGGATGGATAAAGACAGATGTTCTAATTTTACTGCACCAGCAAACGGGTGGTGGAGCTCGTGCTGCCGGGATTGCAAACATAAAACTCTCAACCTGATCAATCATTTTCCGGAAGCGCTCAACTGGTGACAGTACGATGTTAGCAAGCTTAGAGGAATTCAAGCAGGACAAAGGGTTCCCCTTTGGACAATGAATATCATAAACAGGATGCTCCACAGTGACCAGATTTTGTAAGCTTGTTGAGTAAATGGGTCTTTTCCTGCATCTCAAGGAATTCCACCATGCAAGAGATGCTGCCCGTTCCTTCACCTCTCTAAGCCTCTCCTCCAAAATTTCCTTTTGGATCTCTTTAAAAATACTTGTTCCATGCAGCCTTTTCTGATACTTGAATCCAGGCCCAACTTCTTCTAGATTAACCAGATCAGCACCCCTCTCAATTAAGCTTGATGGGGTAGCAATAGCTTGAACTTCATCACTCTCCCAAGAAGTCATGCAAAAATCCAGATGAGTAAATAAAAATCCAAAACCGTTAAGGTCAACAGCAGAAAATGGGTCGGGTTCAAGCACTGAGCAAAGGGTGGAACTCAATTGGATGTCAATGCCGTTCATATCAAAGGAACTAACAATAGGACGACCTTCAAATAAATCAGGATGATTGCAAACTTTACGAAGTTGCATTATAACACTAATCATCCCAAAAAAATTGGCGCTCGCAAGCGTTGCTTGTGTCTCAGAGCTAGCAATAAACTCTTCGTACAAGTTACGCTGCCTCCTTGAGAGTCTACAGTAAATGACATGTTCAACTTTCATAGGGAGCTGCTTCTCCACATCTCTTTTCAATCGGCGAAGTATAAATGGACGAAGGACATTATGCAACCGATCAATGACTTCTTTGTTTACCTTTTCTTGTCCCTCTACCATTCCAGATATTGGATTACTAAACCAATCCTTAAATTCTTGATGGGACTGAAAAATGTGAGGCATCAAGAAATGCATTAGAGACCAGAGTTCCATGAGATCATTCTGCAATGGTGTACCAGTCAAAAGTATACGCCGTTTCGAGTTGAAATTTAGAAGAGTTTGCCATCTCTGGGACTTCCAGTTTTTTATCAGATGAGCTTCATCCAAAATTAAGTATTTCCATTTCTTCCGCTTGAAAACTTTTGAATCCTGTATTACAAGTCTATAAGTTGTTATGCAAACATGGAAAGAATTTGGCTTCAACCACCCTTGCCTCTTAATTTTGCGCTCTTTTGCACTTCCAAAATACGTTAATATTTTAAAAGCAGGACACCATTTCAGAAATTCAGTTTCCCAGTTGAGCATGACACTTGTAGGGACAACAATGAGATGGGGGCCCCAGATTCCTTTTTCACAGGCTAGGTGTGCAAGAAGAGCGATTGTCATAATTGTCTTCCCAAGCCCCATTTCATCAGCTAGAATCCCATTAAGCCTCTTCTCATACATTGTAACAAGCCAGTCCAAGCCAATATGTTGATACTCACGAAGAGGGTACTTGAGAAGAAAAGGGAACTTTGTGCGCACTTTGGTTGTTGAAAATGTGTTTCCGGTAGGCTGTGCTGATCTTGCAGCAGCAGCTGCATCAGCAATTATATTCTCACCCTCGCTTCCTTCTTCAGAATTTCTCTCCGGTTCTGCTTCCTGTTCTTCTGTAAGAGAACGCATAACAGGCTGTAGTTCACTAGTGCCGTCGTCTTCATCCACAGGAATGCCATCCTGCTTCTGTTCAATGTCTTGCTGTGCTGGAGAATCCAATAAATCCTCAGAAGCAGAAGAATATAAAGATTCAGAGTTATCATCCACATCTTCATCCGTGTCGTAGTCCTGATAAACAGACGTAGATGATAAAGGAATATTAAAATGAGATGTGAATAATCAAGCGACAAATGAAGCACTCCTCAACATACCTTCTTATACCTTGCAAGCAATTCTTCTACAGGAATTTCACTCTCCTGCTGCAATAATGCAATCTGCATAAGAGCAGTAATTTAGGAACTAAATTTGAAGTAAAATAAAAAAATAACAAGTAGGAGATGTAAAGAAGAACCCTAAAGTATCTTGCAGAATTCTTGAAGTTAGGATATAGAAAACTATAAGTCATGTGCTCTTCACCTCATCTATGGGATCATTTAAGTCAGCCTTGGCCACTTCTTCCTCCTCTGACAATGTTGTCTCGTCATCCTGAACATTGACATCAAATAATGTAGATGAAACACAAGTCATCATGTCTAGTTCCTCATCCTCTATAGAACCAGCTTTAGGTTAGAAGTTAGAAAAAAGCTAACAGAATGCACATTTCGTCACCCAAAACTTGAATTAAGAAAATATATATATATATTAGGGGCGACTATACGTATAGCAAAGGATACAACACAAAGGATTGTGGAGGGGATACTGAAAACATTGAAATTTTTATGCTCCGTTTGGTTGGAGGGATGGAAAAAATGGATGGAAGGAAGATTGGGATGGATAGATGAGACATCCCTAGGGGAAGGAAAAGTGTCTCCCTCGCTTTTTGTTTGGTTGAATGGAAGAGATAGTAGAAAGGATTGATGGAGCCACAACCTTTTTTTGTTTGGTTAGGAAATGGGAGTTTTTATATACTATTACCGATATACCTGATTAATTAAGTTGATCAGTCATGCATTGTCCACATATTTCTGAGTAGGTAACAAGCAAAGGAATTTATTTCCCTCCTTGAACAAAATGTGTTCAAAATATCTAGGATCCAGAACATAATAAACAATTGCAGATTTTAAGAATTGAAAAATACGTGTTCAAAATATCTAGGATCTGGAACATAACAAACAAAATTAGATTTCAAGAATGAAAAAATCTACATAAAGGGATGAAATTTGGCCATAAATACTCCAATGGGTCACACAAGGAAACCAAGCTACAAGTTAGAACATCAAATCCTCTTATACTTGGGAGTCTTCACAGTGTTTTTTATTTTTTCCGGAAAAGTGGAGTCTTAACAGCATCCGATTACATCATAAAATTAAGGAAATTACTACTGTAATTCCATCCACCAACACAAAATTTTCCAACAGTCATCCTTGGCATATCAACATATAACTTGTAATGATAGGAGTTCAATACACTTTGAGAGTCTTTCAGACTCAAATCACATTGACTAATCACTGGTCATACTTAACCATGAGTCCATGACTCCTAGCCAAAGTGCGTATACTAACGAACAAATGGGCCGAGTATAAATTGACCATTTACTTTATAAGGGTTTACTATCACTGCAGTTAGAATTAGGGTGAACACAGTTCTTGGATTTGCTTCAGTGGCTTAGAAAAAACTCACGAGGTAGGGTTCAAATAGATGAAGGTTAAAATAAGTCATTTAGTAAATAGATGAAGTTTAAATTGGTATTACATAATTGCAGGTTAATCTTTCATTCTTTCCCTCCTCTCTTCTGCCCAATTTTGGGCAGATAAAAAATCAGTGGTTCAGAGGGATGCTTCAACCCTCCTTGCTTCCTCTCTCGCTTCCCATCCATTCCAATCAAACGGCTCATAAAGGAGGAGGGGCAGGGAGGGGATTGTGTGTGTGATTGGGTGGCAGGGAGGAGGTTGTCAGCTTAATGATTTCCTAACTAAAAGACCAAAAGGTAATTAAAAATCTTAGGGGTAACCATGGCATCCATTGGCTCCGCCACTGTTTACCAATATCACCAATTAAAAGATAATACGGAATTATGCAATATATGCCTAAAATAAATCATCAGCCTAGAAACTATACATAATTGCAAGTGTCTACATCTCTTATACCAACAATGCTACTAAAAGTCACATGATTACATCACCAGCAATTGAATCATTTAGGACATAATTGCAATATAGGGACAAAGAAATGGATTCCCCCATATCCTAGTGGCAGAATGTGAACGCTAAGATAGATGTGTGAGAAGACAAGAAATGATGGAATTAGAGATGAACAAATTTGTATAAGGTTGGAGTAGCACCAATTAGAAATAAAATGAGAAAACACTTGATTAAGATGGTTGGTCATGTGCAAAGAAGACCAACGAATATGCCATTCAGGAAATGTGACATGGTCGACATTGAAGATAATGCTAGGGAAAGAGGAAGACCAGAGTTAATGTGGGTAAAGTTAGGAAGGAAGGATATGATAAAATGTGGTTTAGATGAGGCTATGGCCTTTAATACAGTGGAATGGAAAAATAAAATTCATGTAGCCAACCCCAAGTAGTTGGGAAAAAAGCTTAAAGGCTTTGTTAAGTTGAGTTCAGTCAAGTTGAGTCATATCCTAGTGATCAAAAGAGCTGCCTAATATGAAGACACCAAAACACATAATACATAATTGGGCAATGTTGCAATAACATGCTTAGAATGTAACATACCTTTTCTTCTCCAATACCAAGTACGAAATCACAATCTCCCTGCATAAATGAAGATATAAGACAGTTGGGTAACTAATTATTAAAAAAATAATAATAATAAAAAATAAAATAAAAATTTGATGAAAAATATAAAGAAAGGGAAAAAAAAACTGATGCAATTAAATTAGACAATAACTAAATAACAATGACCAAAGCTGTAGAACTGTAACAGGCCGAACGTTTGCCATCTAACCCAAAACCTTAAGCTATTAGGTGGAGCTACCTATCCGCCCTTATAAGTCTAAGACCCTCCCCATCCGGATCTGAGGTGGGACAAGAATCTCTAACATCTCCCCTACCCAAGCTCGCAACGCCCTCGTTGCTGTCAGACACCTTGCCTACCCATCCACCCTAACGGCGGGCGGACCCACAAACCCGCTCGTGTGAGCACTTAGCATGACACCGGATCAAGGACTAGGTCTCCTCCAATACCACTTGTAACAGACCGATTGCTTGCCATCCAACCCAAAAGCTTAAGTTGTTAGCTGGAGCTGCCTACTGTTGTCATCTAAACCAAAAACTTAAGTTGTTATGAGATGCGGCCTACCCGCCCTTATAAGCCCAAGACCCTCTCCATCCGAAACCGATGTGCAACAAGAATCGCTAACATTATGGTATACATATACAAAGAAAACGTAATACAGATAGTTATAAATTGTGTTTGAGCATTGAAGTACTAAAGGAAATCCTGAACTATGCCCATTGGCTACAAACACCTAAGAATTCAGACCGTGTGTCCATTTGACTACAACAAAAATTAGGAGTCATTCACGCTATAATCTATCCACATATTTCCATGTTAGCTGGTGCACGGAACTTCACCGAACAAAATTATAAACCCCACATTGAAGGTGGCCATTGATCCTCTCCACGCTGGATACATTTATTACATAGATAGTCAACAAAAGGCTTTGTAAAAATTTTAGTAAGAGTATCAGGTGGTGGGTCCTGTTTCTGTTTTACCCAACATGGTTTAATTTTACCTGTTACTGTGCCATTTTTTATCAGAATGACCAGATTTATTTGATTACTTAACATTTTCTATATAGGACATTCTTCACTAGACCGTCACCAACATAGAACTCACCCAATCAAACTAGTTTTTTCCATTCATTTGATATGTTGAATGAACCAAGGAAATTATGTGCCTAACCTAATAATTGTGCGGTCAGATTCTTCTCTTTTTTTAACTTAATATAAATAATGATGATGAGCAAACGGGGGAGCATCCTAAGCTGTGTATAATATAAAAATCTGTATATTCCTATACAAAGTCAGAAATCAAATACATTGTAAACATATATATATATATCCACAAAGGGATTAACCCTTCCAATCACCCAGCGAAATAGAATCCAAAAAAAATGCTCTTTTAACACCATACATGACTCTACGGTCTCTACCTACCCTCAAAAGACTTGCAATTCCTCTCCCCAAAGACACCAAATTAAGCACAAAATAATGGTATTTCGTGTTCCACGACTCTTCCTCTTATATACTTAACACATCTCCAATTGCATAATATATCAAACAAAAGCCTAACAGTAGGAGGTAAAACCCAGGAAACCCCAAATAGAGCCAACAAGAAGTACCAAAGCTCGTTAGCAATTCAATAATGAATAAGCAATCAATTGAATTCCAAACCTCCTTGCACACAACATATAGAATACCAATCAGGATGGTTTCCCTTATCTTTCTAAGAGTGGAAGTCTGGAGGGGACCCCGAGACTCAAAAGTCATACTTACGCCAGAAAACTTACTCTTTGGCTCTTCTAGGCGGGCAGCTGTGTGACAACACTCCAGAGAAAGCGTCACGTTCCCGATCTGTCCTGAAGTGGTCGAGGAAGTATATATTATAGCAATCACATTTTTTCATGCAAATAGGTGGCAAGAAAACCCATTATAAACTGCCAAAAACCTTACCATGCCCAGCTGCCCACACAAAACCACCATCTTAATGGGAGTTTTCAATTTGTATTAGCTTTCCATGGACAACTTGGATCCCATGACTCAGTAAAAGACATGAAATAATATTACCTCAGATCTCATAAAAATCCGTTCCCCCATCTTAGCAAATCATCCCCTTCATGAAAATGTCCAACCAGTACAAAGATACCAAAAATTCAACGCCTCCTCAACCTCCCGACCATGAATCTTTCTCCAAAAAGCAACATCTCCAACCACACCATCACTAAAAGCCACGTGATAATCCATAACCAGAACATCCTTATCCACTAACAATGCATACATGTTGAGAATTTTTCAGGAGCAAATCATTTTCATATCCTCTATCGCACCAAAATCTCACACCATGACCAAATCTCTTCCAAAAGCTGCTAAGAAATAATTTGAGTGGGACTCATCAAATAGCAAAACTGCAAACCTAATTACTTTCTTGATAGTGGGTGGTGCAAGTATATTGCTCATTAGATGGCACAAAATTATTGGTTCTAAGCATATTTCAGTTTTCGCTGGGTACGATAGATGAGCAAAATCAAAGGGAAATAAATGCATGCAGTTGGTTTAAACAAAACCCAACCATAGAGAAAATTCAAAGTCAACATTTTCAACTACAGCCCCCTCCCACTGCATGCACACAAGCCCCCTTACATAAGGGACTAAAAATTAGATAGTGCAAACTACATCAAGTATCTTGTAAGCAAAATCATATACACATCGTCATTCAGAAAAGCCTTTCTGAAGTACTTGAGGTTAGCAACATTAGTCTTTCATCATTGGCCATCAAGCACAATTCAGATCATCACAACACACTTAATCCAACCGACTTAGTGATGGGCTGCACAAAACTATATTACCAGATAAAGCTATCTAGAGTTATATCCACCGCCAAGTTACAAGCTGCTAAGTCTTTCTCCTCCCACAGTTCTTTTTTTTTTTTTTCCTTATGGCAACCTGGTAGAGAAGTCGACAAGTGCAGTAGAAAGCTGATCCTGTAACACTTAGATTCAGACATATATATACATATATATACTCCCTCCGTCCCAAAAATTCTTGGACCTCTTAGGAACTCTTAACTTTTAAGGGGACAAGCATTTAATGCTTTGTCCCCTTTTAAAATTACAAAATTACCCATTTAAAGTAGTATTAGTTCGAGGTAAGTTTCAAAAAGTTGAGGATATTTTGGGAAGTATATTACTCTATTACATTGAGGGACAAGAATTTTGGGACATCCATCAATGGAAGGATGGCCAGGAATTTTGTGACAGAGGGAGTATTTCTCAAACGTGTCTATTTTTCAGTATTGTACAGCCAAATTCCATGAGCTATGGGGCTTTGAGACACACACTAAGAAAGAAGAAATAAGGGAATTTAAGGAAATATAATGTTTGAATTCTATTCTTCAAAAACTTTGAAATGAGGAATTAAAGGAGATATAATATATGAAGTTAAGTTTTCAAAAACAGTCTTTATTTGAAGTCTCTATTAGAGCCTACACACACGCATATAGAGAGAGAGAGTGAGAGACAGACCAATATGGTAAACTGCATCTCAAAGCAAATGACTTTGGCCACACATTACTTCACACCTGAAAATTTCCAAATTGATAGTTACTTTAATCCTTACATCAAACTATGCCCACTAGAAATATAACCCAAAAAACTGGAACAGTGCTATATTTGATAGAACTCCTTAAATACCTCTAATAATAAAAAAGATAAATTAAATTAAATCAGCCCCCATTTGTCAAGCCCAATTGATCCTCCTTTACGCCCAAAATAGGACCTTAATCACGTCACTTTTTGGTTTATATTTTCCTTGTAGAAACTTCAACTAGAGTCAAATCAATTCAAATGATGCATTTAAAAGGTAAATTTGATATTTACCTACCCCGAGTCCCCAACTCATCAAAACCTTAAGGATGATAACATAAATGATCACTTCTAAAAGATCATCTACCGCTGATGTTCTCTTCTTGGGACACCTAGTTCCATGAAAAGACATTTTAAATAGTACTTCTGGATATAATAATTTCAAAACCTTCTCCTTAGCAATATCGGCAATCTAATAGTGCTGTATTTTCAACAAATCAACTAAACTTTGATTCAATAGTTACTAAGAGAATTCTTGAAACCATACTGGGCAGCCTGCAGTAAGGGCAGAGGGTTTAAGGGAAATCAGATAGATTATACAATTGGATGTGGAAGAAGTAAAGATAAGAAATTAAATGGAATAAAACAATATTGTCCTCAGATCCCACGACCCATGGGACCTTTTACAAAACACACCAGTTAATTAACGCATGCCAACTTGATAATATGAACAGCACATATCTCAGATAGCATCAACCCTATGTCATCAACCCCTTCCCTTTCGAAACAACTACATAAACTAAGCATAAACAAAACCTTCCTTAACAGCTTATTTAATTTGACAAGCAAAACCTGATATCAATAGCCATCCACCAACACATTCTTATTGCCCGGCACCATTCCTGCATTTCCGCAACCGATAAACCACAAAATCACACCCCACTCTTGTGTGTACACAAGTTTGGAGTTGAGCATCAAATATCTAAAAGAGAAAAGCCTTTCCAGTGACTCTTGAAACTCTACCTATAAAATGTCAGAGGCCTACGTCTTACAGATTGCAATACCAAAATACCAGCAGTGTGTGCACATATAATGCTTCTCAGCATATTCCTCAGTTCTTGCTCGTTTCTCTGATTTGATTGGAGTGAGATAGTTGCATCGAGACCTAAGGTGCTTGAAGAGAATTTTGACAGGATTTCAAAAGTTGGGTAATAAGAATGAGTGAACTTGCGAGTCTTTATAGATGCATCCTCAAATGAATGAGGACATATGAAGATATTTCAATAAACTACCAGACAGTAAATTTGATTTGAAATTCAGACCTGAGCAAGGTCAAAAAAACAACATCTTCAATTCCACCACAGGATTCGCACTAGTCCTTTATCACTTTAAGCATAGAACCTTGCTCAACCTTGAACACCAAACCACTAAAGATTGCACGATTGAATGTTCCTTCAAAAGCCAACCTTGTAAACAAATCATATTGAAGCAGCCAAAGATAGCTAGCACATTGGGCTCACTAACATTCTTGCCAATCGCTCTATAATACTACATAATAGTCTAACTTATCAAAAAAAAATACTACATAATAGTCTAAATTCATGTAAAAAAGATGTCAACTGACGTTCCACAATCCAATCCCCTTCACACAAAAACTTACAGTTGTATATTAAAGAAAAGTAAAATGACTGACTTCAGACTATATTTGTCTTTCATTTGGCGAAAATATCAAATTTAGAGAAAATAGCAATTAGATGTTGTAACAATTTAGACTATGTTTTGCTTTAACAGTCTTAAAATAGGAAAACTGAAATAAAACCAAATGGAAAAATTGGCAGATTTCTTTATCAAGAACCAACAAAATCGAACAATATATTTTTGAAAAATTCATTCTCGATAATCCGAAATCAAAGAAAAAGTTCCAAGAAAGATGAAATTTCATGATATGGCGTGCATTCTTACCTGTTCATCATTAAAGTCGTATAGCATTTGCTGCTTGTCTGACTCTTGAAATTTTTGTGACAGAATTGTGATTTGGCCAGTCTCAACTTCTGAAACATGGTTTTCTAAAATCGAGAAGCCACCGTTACTTTCACCCTGTGATGAGGAGAGAACATATTATGTCAAGCAGTGAATTTTTCCCACAATTCAAGACAGTAAACATAAACACATACAACTTACACAACGACGATCAAGGACTGCAGGTGGGCTGCAGGTGCCAATCTTAGGGACAGCAGAGATATTATTTATTTTGCCTGCAGAAAAATACCCCCAATATTATGGACAACCACATGGTTAGTAAAAAAATGATGCGCAACTGATACTTACTCTCGCTGTCGTCATCCCCCACAGGAGTTGTAGCAGCTAAACACTCATCCTTTTCTGGACTACTTTCTTGGTTAACTGAAAATATTTTAATTGATCACAATTAATTGCATGATAAACTAATCACCTTTTACTGTGCAATTTCCATAAATTGAAGCATATAAAATATATTGGAGAAGCAAAGAGTTAAACGGAAATGAAATTTCTCCAGAAGAAACCGAACATGAAATTAATCTACCTTTCTCCACTTCATAATGTTTAAGTAGCTCCTCTAGAGGCAGATCTACTTCATTCTGCAAAGCTGCCAGTTCTTCTCGTGTTTCCTCTTCAGTTGTGAGAGCCTCATCTACCTCAATAGTATGCTCGTCATCTTCCTAAAGCAGCATCACAATAGAAGTGAACATTTTTAAGTACATGCCCAACGAAGATGCAACAGCACATATGAGATCAACACACACTTTAGCAGAAGAGTTTCAGGTCTCAGAAGGCAACTATAATCTCTCTCTATGAAAATCTTCATCCATAAGAAAAAGAAGAATAAGAGCGCAAGTGAAAAACCTTCTATTATGTGTACACAGAATCATATGGTTGGGCCAAAGCACAAAGGTATATAGAAGGACACCTTTACAGAACACAAGTGATGTAGAGCCGAGAGAGAGAAGTAGAGAGACATTAGAATTGGGGGAGAAGAAGTCTGTATTTCATGTCCTCAATATTCAATAAATTTTAGTGGTTGTGGCCAGATTCGTATTATGTTATTTGACAACAACCTGTTACTTTCCCTGAAAAATAGATAAGACAATGTATGACACAACTTTAGTGGGTTTCTTATTGAAAAGTGCAGTCTGATAGAGCCTCAGTATTCCACTTGTCAACATTAATTACTATATAATACAAAGCACCTCAACAGTCCGGCCTAAAACCCTTATTGATTTTCCAGAACATATCTAGCAGAAACAATGGTGGTGAATGCTTAGTTCCACTTTACAACATAGATTTGCATGTCGAGTACCGTGATACCCATGTAAGATCAATTGAAATCAGAGGAAGATTTCCAACTGAAAGCAAAGTGAGAAACAAAACAAAGACTAACCGATTCATCATCTGACGGTAAAGCATAGTCTTCATCAATGTCTGCAGTATCTGACTGAGATTCTGTGATAAAATATTGGTTTTAAATTAGAAAACATAAAATATTATGAGGTAATCTGATAAACTGAAGGACAAGTAACTAGAGTTACTTCTTACCAACATTTAATTCGGCCAATTTCTTGATATCATTTTCATCTCTTTCTTTATATTGAATACTCAGTTGTTCTTTAGCAGGGTGTAAATCCAACGGTTTGGGAGGAATTGGTGAATTCACAAGGTTTTCTGCTAGCATTGTAGAGTACCTAGAATAAATTCAAAAGGAAGACATTTTACAGTTCCAGAATATACATGACCACAGGTACGCAGAACAACTTTATTAAAGCAGCATTATACCTTTCAGTTTGCCCTAAAAGAAACTCGAGCTGTTTATCAAGCGCCTTCTTCTTTTTCTCATCAAGCTCTAGCTGATGCTTATATAGAACCTGAAATTACAGTATTGTGAAGGAGTTCATTCAGAAGCATGAAACTAAAAATATGATTCTAAGCTTGACCAAAATATCAAAATTTCCAAAATAGACTTGCCAGCTTCTCTATTTTCATCCAGAATTTTTTCACATCCTTGGAAATACTGATAGCAACTTTTCTCAACCGCTGCTCCTCTTCCTGCTCATAATTTCAATGGTAACATAAATTATAATCAAACAGAAGAAAACATGAGCACATATGATGGTACTGTCACTACATCATGTCAAATAATCCCAAAATTTCTCTTGTTAAAATATGTCATGAAATAATTTCATTTATTGTAAGGAAAAACTGAACCTTCATTCTCTTCTCTCCCCTTGTGGCCTGATCCAACATGCCCTTGCTGGCTCTTATAGCAACCTTCTTTGCCTGAGCCAGTTTCCATTTTCTCTCTGACTCAAAGTCCTGATAATAAATACTTCAATGAGCATAGCAAAAACGGAGAATCTGAATCGTAGTGATTTTATTGACCAAAAATGATTTGGAAATATATATAGTGTGATAACATATTTCAACAAAAAGCATCATATCATTACAATGTAAACTAGTCCACTACCTTTGACAACCAAACCATCTCTTCCAGAACATGATCCCAATGAGCTTTAGGGCGCCGAGGTTCTTTGGGAGCTTCAAGTGCCTACAACAGCCAAGTTTTCATCAAAGAGACGGGAAAAAAAATAAGCACAAAGACTCAAAATATATTGGTCCAATAGAACTCGGCATCCAGAATTTATTATTTCAAAGAACATGAATGATGAAACCAATAGGTTCATTCACCGTTAAGCAAACTGCTCAAAACAGCACAAGCATTTATGCCTACCATGCTTATTACCCTCATAAATCACATTTCCATTTTGTACAGATGCAGGTCACAGCATAGCACTTTAAGTGCAAGCTGACCAGTACAAGTACAGAAGTACATGCTAAAGTCTTAATAATACCATGTGCCAGAACGAAAAAGGTAAATCAGGTGTCTGAGCAGATATGGAAGACAAATACAAATCATGAACAGCCACGAACTTTAGATTCAATTCACTTCATATACCAAAGAGGTGACAAATCATAATGATGACTTGCAAATGTAAAACCAGGTGCAGAAGAAAGATCAAGGAAACATTGCCTATTCAAAGTTTAGAACTCAAAAAAGTTCAATGGATGACAAATAAATCCATCAATTCTCTCGCAAGCACAACTTTGCACGAAAAATAAAATTCCATAAACCAACCTTTTGCCGCCTAGCCCTTGTGTCATGGTCAAGCTTACACCTTGGACCTTTGGAGGCCATGGTTATCAAGTAATACTTATAGCATAACGTAAGTCCTGTGCATAACCACCAGCTCACCCAAAAAAAAAAAAAAAATGCAAATATTAGTTTTGAGCACTCATATACAACCACAGAAGAAAGAAAAGCATCAAGATAAATTAAAAAGAAAAATCAAGCACAATGAATATGATTCTCAACAATGCAACATCTCCTTCAACAAACTTTAAGTCATTGACAATCAAAAAATAGAGAGAGGTGTGGCAGATAAGAGGAACGGCTAAATTTCACGAACTCGCCACGCGGCCACAAACTCAGGTGTCGCATGCATATGACTTAAAGCAAACTAGAAACATGGCTTATGTCAGTTAAGATGAACTCCCTAAAGAAGCTCGTATCAGCAATTTCTTTCAAAAAAATTAAACAAAAACAAGTCGTGTTTTAAGTAAATGTAACGTAGCATTTGCCACAAGCTATTAGTTATGAAGGAAAAGATACACATTCCCTCAGTAACAAATTCTTTTGCTGACAAAAACCAACTTCAAACGCTCTAAATCATGCATTTTATTCATCATATTCACAAAAATTGCACTGTTTGGTTACAAGATATAAAATAGGAAATTAGTTGCGAATTCGTAACACTTCCTCCACAGACAAGGGCATTAGAAACTAAAGCACAAACTTTCAACTTCACCAAAAACATTTAATATTGTAATTCTGTCAATTGACTTTATCTTAGTATAATAATGGATTAGGTCTAGCCCTTTGACAAATCAATTCCAATTTAAATATTATCCAAGTATAATCCCAAGTCAGAGCTCTCAGTTAATCACTGAATAGTCATTTTAGGATTCTTTTTTTCTGACAAGTGAATAGTCATGTGGATTTTTTATAGTTCAATTATCACGCCACATGTACAAATTTCAGAGAAGAGAGGTTTTCTCCTCCTAAAATGGGATTTGACCTGAAGTGCAAAAATACAAGCAAATATAACAGATACGAGGATGAAGTTGATAGAATAAGTTGATAGAATAATGAAAACAATATATTCGTCTTCAAATAATAATATATGTCTTCAAACTCTGCCGAATCATTCCGCTCTTGTTATGCAGCAATGCATTAGCAGCATCACTACTATTAAAGTTCAGAGATGAAAAAAAAAATGTGTAAATATATATAACTTATGTCGCTGCTCTCGTGGTAGCCAACTGTGTCACACAAGTCCAAGCATTAGCAGGTTGATTTATCCAACATTATCGTCAATATCACATTTTAAGACTATCACATTCAACCTGACATTAGAGAACCAAAATTTCAAGAGAGAGAGAGAATCTATAACTCAATATAACTTCAATACAACTAAAACTCAACTGAGTCTTAAGAGCCAACAAATTGAAGTTGGCATCATATATCAAATCCATCAAAAATTATATCCCATGTTGATCATTAAAATATCGTTTATTAAAATGCTGAATTAATTAACCCATGTTTGTCACTTTGTCTTACATTCCACTTACTCCTGCTGCAATCCATTTATAGACTCTCCTTGGGAGGTATTGGAAGGATTAAAAATGAGTACCGTACCAAAGAAAATGCATTGAGAAAAGAATATTCTAACACCATAACTATGGCACGAGGACAGACTAAGAGTAGTAGATGAAATTTTCACATAGTCCTTTGATAAAACAAATCAATGTAGCATTTTACCTTTAGCTAAACCTGTACAACTTTAAGGTTGGTGAAGGAAATTTATAGGGGGCAAAAGAGAAGGGAATGATAATATCTAAAAATAATTAATAAATGAATTAAGAATTAAGTAGAACCCAAATTCCAAATAGCGGGATCAAGTATCAAGACTGAGAATCTACTTTCTAGTGTAGATTCTGTATAAATGGACTACACCTTTTAAAACAAACATCTAAACCGCTAATTCATGTATTTTCCGGTTAGAAATAATCTTTTACAATTTTTTTGACATGTTATTAGTAAATGGATTCTTCTGATGTTTCAATTTGATGATCTTTATCTGACTTTTAGTTTTTTGCGGGCACTTTAAGTCTTTAGCTATTTATTCTTTTAAGCTATGAGCATTTTTTAAAATTATGATAAGTATAAATTGGGTGGATTCAATAAGGTTCAATCGTAAAAAAATAAAAACTTTGGCTATCTTTTAGGGGAGTGGTTAATGAACCGGTAAAGTTTTGCCAACAGTAAAAAAAATTATAGTAGTGAGAATGTTAAGTTACTAATAACTAAAGTAATTCCGATCAGCACTTGATTTAGAACAAAGTCAACCAAGAAACCTACAAATACACCCTATCCCATTTCGAGAGCCTAAATCAGGCACCTTAAACCTTTTGTTAGAAATTACAAGATTGTAATTTAGAACCAAATTTTGTAAAATTCAACCAAAGGTTTTTGAACCAGAGTCCTTCTATAAAGCAATTGGACAACTCAACATGCGGAAAGTTTGTTTCCTGTTTTGAACATGTGACCTAAAATTTGTGTATCTTGAAAACCTAAAAAGACAACATCAACAGGCCAATAAGTCATGAAAAATATCAAAAAACTAAGACTGACATTAGAGCAAATAAACTTTCAAAAGCTGTCCTAATCATTTTGGAACACATTATATACTTATGCCTAAATCTGTATGTTTGTGTTGTTTAGTTTACCTTGAGGGACTAAATTACATGTGTCACTTAGTGCCACAGATTCAGGGGAAAAGAAAGTGAAATGGGTTTCATGGTCAAGTAAGACAAATGGTTGTGTTCAACTTAGTTAAGTCATCTTGTTCTCAGACATTTTTCAAAGATTTGTGTTACTCACATTTCCTACAATTTCTTATCAATCAACCATATTTGTGTATATTTTTTCCTTGATCCATAGTGGTCTATAAAAATTCTTTAAACATCACTATAATCTTACAATGCCGAGCTTTTACTAAAATTTCAACAAATAAAAGGGGACATATCAAAATTTGTTCTTATTTGTGCTTGTGCTAAAATCTTTTCGTTCTACCCCGTCCCAATTGTAAAATCTTAGTCCCATCCCCATCACAAACCCAGGATGGGTTCTCACTCTCAAACCCATCCTCACTTCAAGCAAAACAGTCACAGTCCATCCCCACCTGTTCCATTACCACCTATGAAACACCACAAGGACACCGGTCACATGGCTACACAAAAATATAGCAAAATGTATTACTACTCTATATAAGTAATTCAATTCATCGCTTAAGCAATTAAGCACCAAATCAGCTTATAAATAAAATAGACAAATGTGTTAAAAGAAAACCTCTATCATGTTCATCATTCGTTATTTATAACACAGGAGTCATAATTTCAATAACAAAAAAGAAAAAGAGGAAGCCACAATATACATAGGTAATAAAGGAATCAGGATCATATAGACAGTAACCACCACCAATGCACCAACTTTCAAATTTTTTTACGTGTACACCGTGTATATATAAACATTAAACAGACAGGTGTATACTTTCTATACATAAATAGTGGTACTGATGAGGTGTTTGTTCGTGAGGGCCGTGACTCGTTAGTAAGGTGCGCCGTGGTGGTGTTGGCGGCGGCTCTGACAAGTGGTGTTGTGTGCGGGCTGTGAACAATGATGACTTAAAGGGAGTTTGGTGTCGTGGTTGTGATGAGAGTGTAGTGTTAGCGGTTGGTGGTGGATGGTGGTTGTGAACTGTGAAGTCAGTGGGAAAAGTGAGAGAACGGACCAGATGGTTGAGGGAGAAGAGAGAGAACGAGAAAAATGGAAAAAACCTGGAGAGTCGCCCACAAATGCTATAGACGCCGCCGGTGGAGAGTAATCGCCGGTGGCGGTGGACGACTTGCGGGCGGTACGATTTGGGGCAGCGACGAAGCGGGACGATTTAGGGCTAGCGCTATTCTGCTGCTGATTCCAGATTGAGAACTTGGATCGCGATTTTGGCCCTCTTGAGTCTTTAATATTTATGATTCTTTTTATTTATTAACCATAATAAATTTTCTAAACTAATTATCAAGAAAATATATAATAATTAGAAACCCCGTTTATTAAAATTAAAATTAGGGTTAATTGTAGATAAACATCCATTTATTCATTTAAAATAATAATTTTGTAAAGAAATTTTTTTGTTTCTTTTTTGAAAAGGGAAGGTGCTAGTAGGGCCGGCAACAGGTGCGAGTGTACCCGCCCCCATTAAAATTGCAAAAATAAGGGGATTTTTACTTCATTCCCGCAACCGTTTAACATTTTTACTCGGTATAAGCCCCGCCCCGTTAAAGATCATAATTTATTTATTATTGAAATATAGTTGCTCTATTTTTTTTTCCTCATCTTCAGTTCTTCACCATTATAACTTTTCGGTCTAATCAAATTCATTTGTTACATTAATATTATTATATATGACACTTAATATATATACTAGGAAATATATATACTAATGAAATAAAGGTATTAAGTAATTTACCAATCTAAATGGGCCGGGCGATGCGGGGCGACCTCCCCGCCTCGCACCAAACCCGAGCGAATTTTTATTAGATCAAACTATTCCTGCCCAAATAAACTAAACGGTCCCCGAAAATAGCCAAAAATAGGGTGGGGCAGGGTAGGTCAAATTGTCATCCCTAAGTGCAAGGCTCCAACACGAAGAGGCACCCAACCACTCAGGCAACATGTCACTTGATAAATACAAATGCACTCCGCTTGCCTTTTGACAAAATAGTCTCTATACACATTAATGCGTCATCTTTTATTTAATAATATCATAACTATTTTTTTTTTGACCTTTTTTTTTTTTGTCAAAAGAGATAATTTATGATAACTTATTTTTTTGGATCTTGTTAGAAAATATAATTTATTTGTGTCACTCTTTTTTCTTGCCACGTCAAGAAAGATTATTTATTCAACAAAGATAACTTGTGTTTGGGCCTTTTTTTCTTTTTTCTTTTTTTCTTTTTTGTCTTGTCAAAAGATATAATTTGCTCAACAAATAGAGTTTGTTTTTTTTTCCCAGTAAGGAGATCATTTATTCAACATATATCTTCTGTTTTTTTTGGTTCCTTTTTTTTATGTTGTGTACTATATATTTTTTTGGATCATATCAAAAGAGGTAATTTATTCAAAAGAAACAACTTTTATATTTTTATCTTTTTCTTTCTTTTCTTATTTTCATTTTAGTTTTTAGTTTGGCTTTTTTTATTTATTGGTCCTCTCAAAATAGACTGAAACATTAAAGATTGGAACGGAGACGCTGAGATGAAAATGATGTTTCTTATCTGGAAAAGGTAGTTGTGTATTTTGAATAAAATAATAATAATAATTTACTTGTGACAAGTTTGAGGTTTTATATATTACATAGTGTAGATCTCTCATTTGTTGGTTTGAAATTAAAATAAGGGTTGTATAATCAAACCTTGACTTCATTTAAAGATACGTCGGAGAGATACTCTCTTTTGTAATGGTTTGCGCACGATTTGGAGGCGGCAACATATTTTTGTAAATAATCGAACTCGTATACTAGAGTTCCTGTCAATAAATAGTTTGCTCACTATGTGTTCCATATAGGAAGCAAGGCAATTTTTTGAGGAAGGTCGGTTTTACTTATTAAATTGACTTTTCGCGGATTGTGTTTATCAATTAAAATAGTAGCCTATAGATTTACATTACCAAATTGTTAGCACTGGGTGCATAGGAGTTTTGTGCATATATGCTATGGAACTTGGAGGAATATAGATCGTTACCCTTGACTAAAATATTAGGTAAGATTGAGTTGTTATTAGATACAACTTATGTGTAGTACGGTTATTGTATTTCTTAAATATAGGAACTATGTATACTATTTGATATATTGGAGTTTAGTGGAGCCCATATACAGAGGCTGAGACCACAACAGAACGAAAATGAATTAAAAATAAAATAATTCTGAGTTTTATGTATTCCGATGATATAATTCCTTTTATTAGGGGGAAAGAATGTAATACCCTTAATTTTAAAATGATAGTCTCATAATTTATTTAATTGTTTTAATTGCATTTTTAGTTGATTATTTAATTATTTATCTAATTGTTTATTTGTTTAATTGAATTAATTATTTAATTTAAATTGTGTGCTTAAATGGTGTATTTCAACTAATTGTTGTATGAATATTGTTTGACTAAATGTTATGTGATGATGTAATCATCTGTTAGATTAAATGATTTAAATGTTTAATTTTATTTTTATTTTTATGGATTTGGATAGTAGTAATGAACCAACCATTTGGGTCTCATGGACTACTTGGATTGTCAGTTTATATATATATATATATATATATATTTATATATATGTATATCATGTACAGGCTTAGCATTATATAGATATTTTATATTTTTCTTTTATTTTCCTTTATTATCAGACTTGTATATAATAGGGTATTATTTTATAAGCCTGTATATATATAAGTATTGTCTTCCAAAGGGTTAAAAAACCATATTCATGTATTGTGGAGGCAGAGAGTTTAGAGATGAGAAGCTGAGAGAGAAAGAAGGAGTGTTTGGCCAAGAATTAAGGCTGAACCAAGGAAGGTGAATGAAGGGGCTTGCTCGTGGGTTGAATGTAATACCCCTATATTTTAAAGGTATTATTTATTAGGATTAATGATTTTTATTTTTTATTTAAAATGATTTATTTGATTTATTTGGGATTACTTGCTTTTATTTTTTATTTTTAAATGATTTATTTTAGTTAATTGAGTGTTATGATTTAATTGTCTTATTTTTATTAATTTATATTTCGTGATTATATATGATAATTGTTTGTTTGTGTGCTTAATTATTGATTGAATTGTTGGCGCGTTGATTGTATTAGTATGGTGTAACTTGGTTGTAATTTCTTATTTGTTTATGTACTTCATGTAATTAGTTATTTTAATTTAAGTGTCTATTTAATTACTGTATTTATTTAAATTAATTGGATTTGGGCTTAAGGGAAGTTGGACCAAATGATGTGGTCTTGGACTTAAATGGAACCTTATTAGGTTAACTAATAAAGGCCCGTGGTTATTTAATTATTTAAATGACCATTTTTGTATAACTATAAATATATATGTTTAATTATAAATAAATATAATTAATTAATAAGTGTTATGGAAGGATATATATATATATAGATATATATTTATGGATATATATAAGATATATGATTTAATTAACTAATGATTAATTATGAAATATATATATATTTATATATATATATATATTTAAAGATTATTATTTTATTATTTTATTTGGTAGTCCTAGTAAGAATAGGATTTGGATTCTAATGTATATAAATATATACATAAAGCTTTAGGGTTAAAGGTTTTAAAAATAAGAGAGGCAAAGAAAGAGGAAGAAGAATGGATAATAAGGAGGAGGCCGGATCTGAGAAGGAGAACATTGGGAATGGAAGAGACAATCAAAGCTTGAAGCGTCGGTTTCGTTTTGAAACCTTCAGGCGAGTTATTCTCTGTCTTTCCTCTTAGAACTCATAAGGACTTCACCTTGAGTATCAATGTTTAGATTAATTTTATTTGTTTAAAATCATGGTTAGATCGGAATAATTAAAAACATAAATTATTATTTTTGATTTTTGAATTATCGAATTTTAATTGTATGTATATGTGCTGTATATGGATTAAAAATCAATTTTATAGGTTGATCTTTGACCCAATAGGGTTAATTAGGGTTCCTAAAGCTTTTGGAATTTTCTGAGAATTTTCTTTAATTTTCTGGTATTTTTTTATATATTTTTAGGAATTTATTATATTTATTTGGAAAATTATATATAAATAAATATATATACTGTTTATATCATCTGTATTACGACGTGTAATACCCCTAATTTTAAAAGGATAGTCCTGGTATTTAATTTATTGTTTAGTTTGCATTTTTTATTATTGTCATGCATATGTGTAATTTTGTTTTTTAATTATGGTTAATTATTTAATGGTTTTCATTGTTGTGATTTAATTGAATTTAGTTATCTATTTGTTCTAATTTAATTGTTTTAATTGAATTAATTTACTTAAAGTTAACGGTTTAACTGTTTAATTTAATTGTTTAAATGGACTTGATTTAGTTTAGGTTAATTCGTTAATTATTTTTCAACGTGACTGTGTATAGCTTTTCATTGGGTTTACAATTTACATAGGCAGTCAACATTGAATATAACCTAGTTTTCTCTATGGGCCGAGTAAATCAAATTAGGGTTTAAGAGAGCCTAAGATTAGGGTGGCCTATAAATACACACCTAAGGTGTCTGCCTAGGGTTTTAGCATAATACTACGACATAGCAAGGCTGAGAGAAGTTTTGGAGACGGCTGGGAAGAAAACAGAGAGCAAACAAAGGATTCGCCGGCGAATTGAGACGAACTTCGGTGTAAGGCAAGTTATATCCTTACTATCTCCCTTAGGCTTCTTATTCTTTGCATTCCTAAATAATTATAGGATTGATTTAATCAATAAAAACGTTATCTGTTTATGCTAAAACTTGGATTATCACAGTATGTTTGCTTGCTTGCAAAACTTGTTAAAACGTGCTATTTGCTTGCTTAATTCTCTATTTAAACCTATGCATGGAATGTATTAAAGACTTAAACATGGACTAGGAACCTACTGGGATTGAGTTACAACTTTTAGGAACCATAGCATAGGGCAAAGAAGTTGCAGAAGGCGTCTGAAGAAGAGGGAAGACGAAAAGACGAGGCAGAGAGGGAGAGAGCCGGCTCCCTTGGAGCTGGAGGCTACTCCCAAGTGTGGGAGTCAGCTCCAAGGCCTAAAGGAGGCAGCTTCACATTTTGGGAGACGTCTCCTTGGTGAATTTTGGTTTTTTCTTCGTTTTCAGTCAGTTTTTGCATGCAGTGGTTAATTCTGGAGTTTTCAGTTGAGTTCATGATTGAATATGGAATGTCTAATTGATGTATA